AATATATAGAATAGAGAAGGCGAATAGATAGTAACTTAAGTTAATATACTCTTTTTATAGATTTTCTATTATAAAAGTTTTTATAGCTTTTAACTCTTTANTACTCTACTTATAGAGAGNACTAAATTAATTTAGAAGAGGCTCTATAAGAATAATCTTATAATCGTACCGCTAATATTCTAGTAACTAATTAGTAGCTATTTTACTAAAGATATCTTTATAGGAGAAGTATTTAGAAGAGAGTTAGTTCTATACTAGTTTAGCGTTCTTAGAATCGTTTTATTCTAATCTTTTCTATAGGATTTAATTAATTTTATAGATACTAGTTGTAAAGAAATCGTTTTTCTTCTATTTTATAGTGTAATAAAAAGTATTAGTAGAAATAACTACTATATAAGGCGAAATATATTTTAGCGCTAAAGTCTAAATAGGCTCTAGGTTAGATAGTAAGGTCGGCGGAAGGAGACGTGCCTTAGAGATTTTAATAAGGCCTTAGATACGCTAGACTAGTCCTTATTAAGTACTAGTCTACCTCTAGTACTTATCTTTATTCTATAGCGCGTCTCTACGCCGAATATCTAATTCTATATTTAGGTTAGAGAGAGGTTATTTTAATTATATAAGGAGAGAGGGACTAGAATCGTATATAGAGAGATACTAGGCTAGCTAGATAATTTAATTTTAAGCTATATTAAGTTTTAACCGGAATCGTTATATCTATTTAATCCTAATAATATAATCTTATAATTCTAAATCTATAATTATAAAGAGGTAGTTATAAATCTTTCTACTATTAATGCGGATATATAACTTCTTATATCTATGTAGCGGTGGAATTGCATCCGTTTTAGGATGCGTTTGGCCGCTGCTTTTAGAGGCATTTCCACCTCGCTTAGCCTCTGACCCATCGCCGCTTTAACCAAACCTATGCTCACGAACCACGCTAAGTGGGACTTTACTTCGCCGCATTGTTATTATTATGCTGCCCTGCCGGTGGGACGAGGAAGGCTGTAAGTACCGTCAGCGCTTCCGTGAAACCTAAGGATGGCACTGCGCTTACAGCTTGCCCATCGGCCGGCGCCTACTTATTGTGATGGCATGCTCACTATCCCTTCCGCCATCGCCTCTCCTACTTCTTCTCTTAAACTTCCTCTAGTCGCTCGCCTCCTACGATAATGCCGTTCTCTACGAAGCGAAGCATTCGAAGAGCGCTAGCTACCTCTACTGCTGTTAAGAATGCCGCTCTGGTGCGAAATCGCTACTTATTGCGTCGACCTAACCCATCTCTAGCTGCTATCTCGTGCAGGGAAGTGGAGTCGGACACCAACTCGTTCTCCGACACATACTCGGACCCTGATACTGAGGCAAATACGGATATCGAGCTAAGTACGAGCGAGGATGCTGGCCTGGTCTTGCAATAGGAACTAGACGCGGATCTGGACTCTGAAGCTGAAGAGATACTGAAAGACATTGCTTAATTGAGGGCGGAGGGGCCGGCAAAGCCAAATCATACCCCTCACACTGTAAAATTATGGACGAGGGAAGGCGACTTCTGGGAGAGGTAAGGTCTACCTCGCCTGCATAAATTCTATCTTTGCAAAGTCTTAACTAACGCATATTAGGTACTGTTTTAAGATTATGAAAAAGACTAAGAGGTCCCTAGAAGAACAACTACGCGTATGTGACCTAGAGACATTTAAAGCGTACCTCCGCTGGCGGAAAAAGCATTCCTGGGTTAAGAAGGAGAGCTCGATGCGGAGCTATTGGAAAAGAATTAGCATGTGCTATATGGATCTCACACGCTACACGATGGACGCTGATGTTCTTACTGATGTTTGTAATGTATATTCTAATGTCCACATTTTCCCCTGCATGGCGGCGCACTAACATGGCGGTAGTGGATTCTAACCCTAATGCTTGACAAATCTGAGAAGGAAAAGCATGCTATGTACGTCCAGGATCTCTACGCTATCCTTCACGCACTCTGGGTTGATGACACTAAACCCCTCTATGGCTATATCTGAGTTCAAATTTCGCTTCTTCTCCTCCTAAGCGCTGCTATAGCCACGAGACTAGGAGCCATTGTCGAAAGCACAAGTGCAAAGGGCAGCAACAAGTCACTCTCGTTTAGGAATATCGAACTTCTGAAGGTTCGTAGCACTGTAGATCCTAGCCGGAGTACTATTGTGGCAAATGTTAACCTCGAGAATATTAAGAATAAGGAAAAGGATGGGAAGCCGTAAGTTGAATAGTAGATGTAGAAGTTAAGAAGTCTTGCTAATTCGTACTGTGCTGTAGGAAGAAATTCACTTTCCGTCTAGAAGAGACCCTCGCCTTCTGCATAGTTTCGTATATTCTAAGCATTGGCGTTAGTCAAGGAGCACTAAGGGACGACTTCACTAGTGTTCAGGATGTGTTTGACCTCAACATACCTGTGGGCCGTAATGTACTCCGCATTAAGTGGAAAAAGGAGTTGCTTAACTAACCGTTCTTATACGACGTTAGGAATACAAGTGAGAGTGTTCGCATACTAAAAGACAAGGCGTTTCCCTATACGAAATACCGCGACATCTTTATACGCTTAGGGCGTGTTACGGGCTTTGAGAAATCATTAGAGCTGTACCAGCTACGACGGGCTTCTGGGAGGAATATCAACAGTGAGTTTGCGTTGGACCCCGTATTACACTTAATTGCGCCTAAGCTTACAGGATCTACTAGGCGCGCTTGACCTAGTAGAACGGAACCAGACTATGGGCCATCTCGGGAGCACATACGAAAAGTACTACACGCCAACGCACATTGCCCGTGACTTTCAGTCTATCTACTTCGGAAGCCCTTCAGAAGACCTTCTCATCCAATCTGTTGCACGCATGGGCTTGTCACGGGATCGACGTGCACCTACGGAACTGGATGACGCGCAACAGGAGGCATTACGAAACGATCCTGCACTCGCGGTTCTTCATAAAGAGCGAGAAACGTACAAAAGACAGCTTTATAACTAAGGCTTCTATCCACTCTCGAAGGGTCACGGGACGGATCTCTACGAGAAATACGAGAACACAAAGCGAAAAATTGGTAGCACGTATTAGATGCTGTATAGAGGACGATTAGAATTTGCCATCCGCGAGTTCTATGACTCGATCGATACAATCGAGATAGCTAGGCAACTTAGTGGGAAAGCCGCAGCCGAAGTCCTGACGCTTCTAGCCTTTGAGTTTGAACTTTGGGAGCGAGCAACCATCGCCGGCATGCTCTTTAAGCCAATTTAGGACGACAGAGCCCGGGTAAGATTTGTGCGAACCTTGGCTAGATTATGCCATAAACAAGAGACGCGATAGCTAAAGGCACTTAAGCGAAAAAAGGTGGGTTTGGTTGCATGTGAAGCTAATGACTTACCGTTCTTGAATAAACGAAAGAAGGGCGCTGATGGTTTTGGGAAGAGCCCGATTAACTAGGATGGCGAGATTGCGGAAGACGAGCTTGACGTACCAAAGCGCAGAAAAGTCTTGAAGGTACAGTCTAGGAAGTTCTACCTAATAGTGCTTCCTTATCCGGTGTGTCTTATATGTATAGGGAATGAGGAGTTCTTATACGAACGGAGGATGCGCCATATTCTACGGAAGGATGTCCTAAAGAAGCACGTGGAGACCTATTTCTGACTCCCCGAGCTTTAGTTAGGGTTCGCATGCCGCCATCCTAGTTGCTCTGATATGCTGGTTGACTTAGTGCATTTTAAGAGGCATGCGCTTGACATTCACGGTGTGTCTCACTGATACGTCTGCATTTCCTTACCGGTACACAGTGTAATAAAGAGAATTTTTCATGTGGCAGTGGGTTCTTTCTTTTAGTCTTTCGATAAACTGTGCGCTCTAATATTTTCTATTCTTCCTTATAGTTTTGCTTGCATTGTTTGTGTTTGTCTAAAGTTACAGTAACTCCTCTAAGCGCCCTACGGGCGCTCCTTATCGTCTTTTAGCCGCAGGCTGTGCGAGTAATCAACACGTGATAAGATGAAGTGCCTAACGCTGTCGATCGTCCCTTATACTTACAGCGTCAGCGCTGGCTTAATATCAGCTAGCTCGGCCTCGATTAGTTTCTTGTGTTAGGCACATCCATTCGTTTCTTTCGGCTTATTCTGAGCCACCTGGAGGATCTGCTTTATATTAAGGTACAGCTTCGGATTGGGATACCTTTATCTTGTAATTATTTTACCTAGTTTGAAATATGATTTTGGTTGATTTTGGCTGTGATTTAGGCTGTTTTTGCATCGCGACGTGTGTGTAGTGTTTTGGTGGGGCAGCTTATTTTGCACTATTTTAGTTCCACGAGAGGACGCTCGAGCCGTGCCAAGCTTCTGTTCTCGCTTAGTCATCGATTTAAATTTGTTTACGCAAATCACTTGATTTCAATCCTTAAGGTGCGTCCCTAAGTGCAGAGACACACTGTGTCGCGAGACAGGTTCACGGTTCGGACATCCGGACATACTTCCTATCACAATTGACAAGATATAAACGAAACTCGGAGATTCTCTAGCTGCTATTTCTTAATTGACTTATCTCTGACAAGAATTGCTGTGGTGTTGGCTTAGCTATGGGTTGTTTTGTCGACGTCGTCAATCAACTCTTCAATGGCACCCCCCTGTCTACTGGCGGGTATAAGGAGTAACCAACTACTCGGAGGGTCTTAAAGACAATTTAATAAAGGAAGATTGATTTCCTAGTTTCGCGGTGTCACTTAGATATGGGAGTGAGCATGCCGGGAGCTCCGTTGTACGGAGCAGATCTTTGAAAACGTACCAGGCGCTAGCGGGATATGCTAGCGGGGCTTAACATGCACTAGTACCTGCTAGCGCCCTTATCGCTTGCTGTATTCTATTGTAATATAAATAGCGCTATGCCTATAGAGTGTGCTTCTTAAAATAGAAGTTGCGCGTGCTAATAGACTTCTAGAAGCATCTACAATTACGCGTATGCAGAGCCGATGTGTGTACGGGCTGCGTTCCCTACTCGGAGTCTGCTAGACGCTCCTCGTCTCTTCATCGCTAATACGTACGCCACTATGGATGCAGCTAGTCGTGTTCTGGCGGAACCCGTTCCTCCTAGCTTGTCTAAATCATACCGTGCTCGCGCAGATCGTGGCGGGGTCCCTCACACAACCCTGCACCATCGCGCACGGGGTCGTCGCTCGATTGAAGAAAAGGCCTAAAGCCAACAGTACCTTGCTCCGTACGAAGAGGACGCCCTCGTTCATTTTCTTCTATAGATGTCTGATCTCGGACAACCTGTGCGCATCAAGTATATACGTTTTCTAGCCTTCTGCGTCACCCGCCAGCGATCTAAGACCGACCGCCCGCTAAAGCCGCCGGGCAAGAACTGGACTTAGGGCTTTGAGAAACGCCACCTAGAGACATAAGCGAGAAGGGTCAAGGCGCTAGACTGGAACCGTCACGAGAGGAATATCTATTGGAAGGTAACCCACTGGTTTGAAGTGATAGGAAGGCTGCTGCGAGACCCTGCTATCTCTAAGGAGAACGTATACAATATGGACGAGACTGGCGTGATGCTTTCTATGCTAGGTATAGTTAAAGTATTAGTAGGTAAGGATAATATGCGAGACTATAGAGGTGCGCGTGTTAAGCGCACTATGGTTACCGCGATTGAGTGTATTAGCGGTGATGGTAGGTATCTAAACCCTATGATTATCTGGCCGGCTACGACGCATCGGAGCAACTGGACGACATTTCCTACCCCTGGATGGCAGTACGCGTGCTCTAATGCTGGATATACAGATTCCTATATCAGCTTGCAATGGCTTCAGCGTATATTTGACCCTGAAACTAAAGAGCGAGCAAGAGGTAAGCCGCGAGTGCTGATCTGCGATGGTTTTGGGACCCACGAGACTCTTGAAGTGTTAGAGTTTTGCTTCGCGAACAACATTATCCTCTGTCGTCTTCCCTCTCATACCTCCCACAAGCTGCAGCCCTGCGACGTCGCGGTGTTTGCTCCATTAAAAGCCGCCTATCGCGAGCAAGCCGAGCGCCTAGAGCGGGGAGGCGTCAATACAATCGGCAAAGAACATTTTACTTTCCTCTATAGCCCTGCAAGGGAGAAAGCCTTTACTTCGAAGAATATTGTAGCCGGTTTTGCTGCAAGCGGGCTGTTTCCGCTTAACCCAGACAGAGTGCTCAGAACTATGCCAAAGCCTCTTACTAATTTGACTATCGTGAAGGCCGACGACATCAATGTCGAGGCTTGCGACTAGAGCGAAGTTTTACCAACACCTGTCACGCCGGTGTCAGCGCAAGGTCTTGTGTCGCTTCAAAACACGATCATCGAGCAGGACTCTAGTACCCTCAACGAGGCAAGCGAGCAACGCCTAGAGAGGCACCTCCATAAGCTGGTTAAAGCGGCGCAGCTATCTTTCGCAAAGGGAGCCCTCCAGCAGAACCACATTCGATTCTTGCTAACGATAAACAACGAAGCCAAAGTGCGACGATCGACCAAGTCGCTGGTACTAGGCAAAGCCAAGGTCATGGGCTATGAGGATCTTGTGGAAGCACGAGAGAAGCGCGTTAAGAAAGATGCGGCTCAGAAGGCTAAAGGTCAAGGCAAGCGAGGTCGGAAGCGTACGAGTGCTGCACTAGAGGCGGGCGACGCGGGGTCAAACGCCAAGACGAGGCGGATAACTGGGGAACTATTGTCAGAGCCGACAGCGTCAACTATTGCAGCTGTCGTGGGGATTGAGAGCGTGCCTGCTCCATGGAGAGCCCCAGTGGCGCGGATGTATTAGTAGTGGATCAGGACGCGAAACGAAGCTTGTGGCGGCCTATAAAAGATAACTAGTTGTACTCTTCTACTGAGCATTTTGGCACGACACAGGAAAGCGAAATATTATACTATACATCCTAAAAGTATCGTGAATTATCTCTGCTACTATGCGGTTTATGCTGTCGTGATTCCGCAGTTAAAACTGTCTGTTATCGCTGCTGCTTCGTGTTCCGGTCCGCAATGTAACAGCGGCACAGTCCCTTCAGGCCAGTGTGTCCGTCTATGCACGAATCAACACCACCCTAGTTACGGACATCATAATGCACTCCTTTAGTAAACGATAGTCTATAGACAGCGTTTTCTGTACGATCAGATCGCGTCTCCAGCACAAGGACCGCTTCTCGGTTTGGCTGTCGCACAGTTATGCAATGTCAGCCTTGCCCGATCAGCCTTACGGCACTGCGCAGGTGGGCTGCGCCTCCTGCCCTGGGTGCTGGAGATGCAGCCTGGCCCAACGTCCAGCTTGCTGTACTGCAACTCGTAGACTTTACCACTCCTTCTCATCTCTGACTTTTCAACCCCTTATTTAACGTTCACAACACACCCAATAGCTACGACTTCTCTGCCCTGCGTGAGTAAGTCCCTAATCGCCTTCGATTCCCCCAACCTGCTTCGAAGCTTCGACGCTTGCCTCTAGCGCTCGTACATACGTACGCATACACATTCCGATGCGGCTGCTATATACTGCGAGCGACGGGAGGCTTCGATGGACTAAGGACTTAATCGGGGAAAAGATCCCCTCTTATGCGATCCTGTCGCACACCTGGAAAGAAGGGCAGGAGTTGACATTTGCAGACCTGAAAGATCTATACAACGCAGCAGGTGTTGAAGCACAAAGCAAGGAGGGGTATCAGAAGCTCCGCTTTTGCGCGCAACAGGCTAGGCAGGACGGTCTGGACTACTTCTGGGTAGACACCTGCTGTATCGATAAGACAAACAATACGGAATTGTCTAAAGCGATTAACTCCATGTTTCGCTGGTACCAGAATGCTAAGAAATGTTATGTCTTCCTTTCAGACGTCGAGAACGACACTTTAGAAGGTGATAGCGAGTTGGTGTTTAGGCAGAGTAGGTGGTTCAACCGAGGTTGGACCCTCCAGGAACTTCTTGCTCCCCACTCTGTTGAGTTCTTTTCGCAATATGGAACGCGGTTAGGCGACAAGGAGTCGCTCAAGCATATTATATGCGAGATTACAGGGATCCCTCTTAAAGCTCTGTCAGGGAGCGATTTGTCCGAGTTTGACGTTGCTGAACGTTTCTCTTGGGCAGCGAATCGACGGACAACAGAAGAAGAAGATGGAGCGTACTGTCTGTTCGGCATATTCGGCGTTCACCTGCCGCTGATCTACGGCGAAGGCAAAGCAAATGCACTCGAGCGGCTGAGGAGTGTGGCTATCCTCAAACACAAGGGCCGCAGCCATGACCAAGAAGAAAAGCTTGGCAAGATCTGCAGCTGGCTTTCGGCTCCTGATCCATCCACAAACTACCACAAAGCGCACAAGCAGCGGCAGGCTGAGACTGGACTCTGGCTGCTGGACAGTGCATGCTTCGCTCGATGGAAGGCAAGTGGAGCGTCGCGACTATGGCTGTATGGGATCCCAGGATGTGGAAAGACTATTCTAAGCTCTACAGTCATCGAGCACCTGCTCCAGCACTGCCACGTCGATGCTAGTATGGTGACGGCGTACTTCTACTTCGACTTCAATGATACACAGAAGCAGGACCCAGAGCTAATGCTCCGCTCGTTGCTCCGCCAGCTCCTGCAGCGTTCGATTATGATACCTAAGGGCGTTGACGCATTGTTCTCAGCCTGTGAAAACGGACAGCGACAGCCATCATTGCATGCTCTTCTGGAGCTGACACTGCAGGTGATGCGGCAGTTCACGCATGCTTACATTGTTCTTGATGCACTTGACGAATGCACACAACGCCAAGAATTAATGTGCATGCTCGAGACAGTAGCTGCGTGGCAGCTTGAGAATAGACATATACTTATGACTAGTCGGAAAGAGCGAGATATTGAGAGCTCTTTAGAGAGCTATATTAAGGAAGAAGACACCATCTGTCTTCAAAGGGACGTTGTAGACAGTGACATACGACGATACGTTCAACAAAGGCTGTCTGACGATAAGACTCTAACAAAATGGAACAAAGATGCCGCTATTAGGCAAGAGATTGAGGCTGCACTAATGCAAGGAGCTTGTGGGATGTATGTGTGGATACCCAGCAACTTACAGAGCTAAGGCTGACGATAGCGTAGGTTCCGATGGGCTGTGTGTCAGCTTGACACGTTAGCGCAGTGTCGCAATCGAGCGATGCTGCGCAAGTCATTGGCCGCTTTGCCGCAAACGCTAGACCAGACATACGACCGCATTCTCACTGCTATAAGCGAACAAGACCGTGACTTCGCGATACGCGTCCTGCAGTGGCTGACATTCTCTGCGCGGCCGATGTCAGTCGAAGAGATTGCTGAGGTCGTCGCTATTGACGTGACACGCGAGCCGGCGTTCGACCGCGATGAAGTGCTAGAAGACCCGCTGGAAGCGCTGAATATCTGCTCTAGTCTTGTCACTATCTCGACGAACAAGGCGAAAGGATGGAAAAAATATACTCAGCGTATCATCTCTCTAGCGCATTATTCCGTCCAGGAGTATCTTGTGTCAGAGAGGATCAAGCAAGGACAGGCAAAGCAGTACAGCATACAAGCGGTCGAATGCCACAATGCGATAACAGAGGGTTGTTTAAAATATCTATTGCAGTTCCAGCAACCAATCTCAACGCACATCCTTGAGGGGTTTGCGCTCGCAAGGTATGCAGCTGAGTTCTGGAGCAGCCATCTTCGAAAAGCAGGAGATCAGACGGATGCGGTGAGTCGGGTAGCGGTGAGCTTAATGTCAATAGAACAACCCGCATATCTCATCTGGATCCAGTTATTTGATCCAGACGAACAATGGGAAGAACCAGACTTGAGAAAAGGTCTAGAAAGCATAGCTATACCGCGTTATTATGCTGCGTTGTTGGGCTTAAGCGCGATTGCAAGAATATTGCTAGATCAAGGCGCTGACGTCAATGCGCCGGGTGGAAAATGCGGTAATGCACTAAACGCAGCTTCACAAGAAGGGCACAAGCAGGTGATCAGGATGCTGCTCGACAAGGGCGCTGACATCAACGTGCAAGGTGGAGACTACGTCGATGCACTATGCCTAGCTTCACTAGAAGGCCACGAGCAGGTGGTCAAGATGCTGCTCGACAAGGGCGCCGACGTTAACGCGCAGGGTGGAGACTACGACAACGCACTGCAAGCAGCTTCATCTAAAGGCCACGAGCAGGTGGTCAAGATACTGCTTGACAAGGACGCCAAAGTCAACATGCAGGGTGGAGACTATGGCAACGCACTGCAGGCAGCTTCAT